TATATATATATATATATATATATATATATATTTAATTTGTTTACATGCATGTAAATACATTATGCGAAAGAGGTTTTGCTGACAAAAATAAATAAAAGTTTGGGAATCCCTCCATTAAATGTAAATAAGAAATAATGTGAATTTGTGGATTTTAATGTGTTTGAAAGAAGACTTCCAAAGACATAGTAATACATGGTTAAATAACTAACTGAGTGATAATTAATGTGTTTATCAGTAGTTGATGCAATGTTGAAATGTTAAGAAAATACTTCTTAAAATTGAAATGATTTCCATAAATCCAGTGGTCAAATGCTGTATGTCCTCTCGAATTTCTGTTTAATTATAGCCACTTGATAGTGACTGGTCTTTGTGTGAATGTCCACAAAACTGGAAGACTTTGTGAATATATATTCAGAATGTATAATAGGCTATTTTAGAAAGGAATATTTAAAAGATGAAAATAAGGAATTGGGGAGAATCAATAAATTATGAAAAATATATTGCTGTTGTGTGAATATGTAATCAATAAATAAGTAACTGTAGTCTGTTCACGAGTATTTAAGTACTTAATTTTTGGAATCTGATTACGTAATCCAGATTACATGTAATCAGTTACTAGCCAGCTCTGTATTTAAACTAAAAACAAACATTTTGTATTTCCCTCCCATTTTTATTAGTTTTTATTCTTGTTACAGTAAGTCAGTTATGGTCTGATAATGATTTCAGAGCTCTTCTTTTCTGTTCAGCTCTTCTGGATGTGATGTCATAAACCAGAACGACAACAATAGCCACGCCCACCAAAGCAGAGATGACCAATTGGATCACAGCTTCAGTTGAATTACAACAGCAGACACATTCTGAAGGAAAAACAGAACTAAATAAATATCAGTATGTGGAATGATTGATAATATGCCGCTGATGTGCTGTTCAGTTATGGTTTGATATTACCTGAACAAGGTTGACAGAGTTGAGTGATGTCCAGATGTTGAGTCTGGTTGCTGATGGGATTGTTGAGCACACAGCTGTAGCTGTTTTTATCCTGATATTCCACCTCCAGAGGTAGAGAGAGACTGATGCTGAGATCAGACACACTGATGCTGGACAATAAACTGTTTCCTTTGTACCAGGAGAGAGTCACATGACTCACATTCAACACTGAACACAGCAGCACGCATCTGGACACTGATGATCCTGATGAAGGATTTTGAGGACAGTAACTGGCGATGACAGGAACGGGAAGACGAGCTGGAAAACATTAGAGAAATATAAATAAATCAGAATAAATTGTTCGTGTCTGAGTCGGTGGCTATTTACTCACCAATGACGCTAACATTGAAAGTTTTCCTTGACACTTGTTGTCCAATCATCTGTGCTTTATAAAGACCAGAGTCTGTGGTTGTGGTGTTTGTGATGGTCAGAGATCCAGTCTGATGATCCAGCTGCAGTCTGTCTCTGAATCTGTCATGAGTTTCAGAGATGACTTGGGATGATATGTTGAGTTTAGCGATACAATAGTCTCCGCACATCCACATGATCAGATCGTCCTCTTGTATTTTAATCACACCAGTCGGTAGGGTGAACGAATCGCCCTCCATCACCGACAACGACTCGATTTCATCTGCCTCAACCCCAAACACACCTGAAACATGCAAGAGCACTTTCTCAATCTCTGACTAACCGCTTGTGTAACTTTCTGCTGGTTCACTACTTCAGAATTCATTATCAAACCACTTTACCACTTTGCACGCACACCAGGCCGGTTTTCAAACGGTCAGAGTAAAACCACAGATTGATACGATTGTCAATGAGGACAAAGCCCAAAAAATAAGAAAAAACAAAACAAAACATGGCTTAAAGTTTTATCCCACTGGTGAAGCTAGCTTTTTTTTTAAATAGCTTTTCAGTATCACAGCTGTTTTATTTATATTAGTAGGATATGATCATTCGTTGTGAAACGCTACAGCGTTGTATGTTAATAAATATGCAGTGGGTGGTAACCAGTGTTGGGGGTAACTCATTACAAGTAATGCAAGTTACGTAATCAGATTACTTTTTTCAAGTAACTAGTAAAATAAGGCATTACTTTTTTAATTTACAAGAAAATATCTGAGTTACTTTCTCAAAAAACAAATTCCAGTTACTTTGTTTTCCCATTTATTGACTGACAAGTCTCCTGTCCCCATATTGGGAGAAATCGGAAGTACAGAGGCATTGTGTGCGCTGTGTGAACATGATGCTACTGTAGTTCTAGACTAAATGTGAATGTGCATTAATTCATCCCACTCACAAAAAACAGATTTAGTATTCATCAAAATGAATTAAAACAGTGAAATGCAAACTCAGAATATGACGCAAACCTGCAATAATTAAATATGTTAAATAACACAAATGTATCTAATCCCATTTACTACCTGATGTCTTTGCTGCTGACCTTTGATGATCCAGTTCAACCATACTAATAAGCAAAAATGACTTTAGATAAACTAACAATTGTGCTTAATTTTTTTTTATTGCTGAAGAGTGTTTCTTCTCCTGCGTTCTACTGTACAGACGTGAATTTACTTTTGCTTCAGCCTGAGGTTTATTCATTACACTTTTTGGTGTGAAAGGGCTTTTATATTTGCTATAAATAAAACTCCTTATATTAAAACCAATCAAGCCCTGCTTATATTTAAAATGTAACGCGAAAGTAACGCAAAAGTAATGTAACGCATTACTTTCTATAAAAAGTAACTAAGTAATGTAATTTGTTACTTTTTTAGGGAGTAAAGCAATATTGTAATGCATTACTTTTAAAAGTAACTTTCCCCAACACAACTGATTACATGTAATCTGGAAAAAATTTAGTACTTGTAATTTGATTATATTACATTTAAAATGCTTGTGATCAGACTACAGTTACTTTTTATTGATTACATACATATTAATCACACAATAGCAATAAATTATTCATAACTTATTGATTCTCCCTAATT